TGTTTAAGATAGCAGCCCTTGAATGTGCGCTCTCAAACACTTTTATCTTCAGGAAATGGGGGGGTGGCCGCGTGCTGAAGACGTCATGTTTGATAATTCCTCTGGGGTAAGGGAACGCGCCCAGACTTGGCTCTTTCTTGAGCTGGGGACCGTGCCCGGGAGGCCGTGGGCCACTCCTTCCCCGCGAGCCCCATTGTGCATCGAGCCGACCCTGGGGAGGTTTGTCATCTTCTGAGTCAACCAACCATCACAAGGTGCTGGGCCATAAACGCTTTTCCACATCCTGGGCAGTGACGTCAAGGCCGCTCGGCTCCCCGGCACGCTGTTGGGATGCCGTCGCGTGGCAACGCCGTGGCATCGCGCGCGCCCCAGCACACCCCGTGCTCCCAGCCGCCGCTCACCTGCCGGGGCCAGGAGGACGAGCGCTGCCTTTGGCCACTGCGACGTCAGGGAGATTGCTGTGGCAGTGCCAGGTGGCAAGTGAGCCCTGGACAGGCTGGTGTTTGGGCTGGCTTTATCAGTTTAGCACAAATTCTGGACCCAGGCAAGTGCCAGAACAAACTATGAGCAAATGCTGTGCATCGTGTTTGGCCGCGCTGGGAGGAGGGCCCCAGCTCCTATCAAACGTCAGCGAGAGCCAAACGACTTGGGTTGTCTGCGCCCATCTCCTTCCAATCTCTGCTGTGCCAGATACTCTTATGACATCTCCAACATTTCAGAAAGTAGCACAGGACGAGCTGCTTCCCAGTGCACAAGCTGGCCGTGATCAGGAGCCCCGCGGCACCCGTGGGCCCAGGGTTTTTGCCCCGGGCCTTGCTGTGAAGGCAGCAGAACATCTCCAAAGAGGAGAAAGGGAAAGATCTTTGCCAGGAAACATGAGTGGGAGATCTTGGAGCTGCTTTGTCCCAAGCAGGAGACCTCGGTGCCAGGAGCGACCCTCTGCTCCGGGGTCTGAGTGCCACAGCCCTCACGTCTTGCTGCTGTTCTGCTCTGGGGCAGCCGGTCCCCAGGCAGAAGTGAGGAAAGGGAGTGTATGAGGACTGTCCTGCCTGGGAAGGGCACTTGTCCTTCAGAGGACTGTGTCTGCACTCCTTAAGCAGCAGTAGTGTGATGAGAAACAGGAGCAGACCCATGGGGAAGCACCCTTTTCCCACTGGCGAATGACTTGCAAGGTCCTCATGAAGCAGGAGCACGAAGGGGTCATCACCGCTGGGGCTAATGGGAGAAGATGCAATGGTCCAGGCTGTGGCTGACCGCATGTGGTTTCTGTTGGGCACATGGGGACATTGCAAGGTAGGAAGGAGGCAGGAGAGCTGTATGCTGCTAACAGAGCTGTTTTGAGACGGTGAGGGGCTGTGGACAGACCTGGCTTTCCCTGGTGGGTTGGCTGCTGTGGGCCAGGCTGGGAGGACCCAGAGAAGCTCAGGGGGGATTGGACTCTCCAATGCCTGCTCAGATACTGAATTTAGTTTTTGCTGGTGCTCAGCAGCGCATGCACAACGAGGCGCCACGGCCGCGCAGTGGGGCAGCCGAGGCCACAGGTCTCCGCATGGACTTTCCCGTGCTGGGGCAAAGGCTGCGGTGGGAGGTTCAGCACCTCTCTCAGCTCATTTTCCCTTCATTTCCCCACCACCACCACCAGCTGCAGTGATGTGGCTTACCATCAACAGCAAATGAGCCTGGCAGGTGGGAAGGAAAACCACCCACAGAACCGTTTAGCTACCACAGTCCGATTTTCAGCTTCTTCTTTTGCCAAAGGCATCCTTTGTGGCCATGAGCAATTTGTCTCTGCCTTTCCCAGGAAGACCCAGCCTCAGATATCTAGAGGGGGATAAAACTCCCTCTTGCTGGCAGGAAAGGCTTAGGGGGGAAGGTGGTAAAGCAGAGGTGCACACCTGGGGCTGAGCTGGGCTGATGGCAAAGGGCTGGGCTGGGGGGAAGCAAAGCCAGGAGAGGCTGGTTGAGATGCAGCTCCTAAGGAGGCATGAGCCTGGTGAGTGAGGGGATAAGATTTTGGGGCTTGCTAGCAGCCTGAGCCTCAGTGGCTTGAAAGAAGAGCAAGTGGCTGAACTGGGGGACTGATGTGTGTTTGCTCAGGATGTCTGTGTGGTGTCATGGTGTTTTGGAGGGGTCCCTTTGCAGGAGGTGGTTCTCCCTCTGGTTTTGGGTTGGGGAGGTTTATTTGGTTCCTAGCTCAACAAGCTCTAGGCTCCTGCTAACAGGGCATGTCACTGCAGAGCTGGAGGTCTCCTGTGTTGTGAGATCAAGAAACAAACGAGGCTTTGGTGGTTTGCTGGGTATTAAGCTGCACGTGAGCTCTCATGATGGTGTGCTGCAGCTAAATGCAAGACATTTCTTGTAGCTGCTATGAGATTCTTAAAACTCACTACAAGGGTGAGCTTTGCTTAGGCTGGTGTTTGCTGCCTGTAACTGGAGGAAATAGGCTAAAAGAGCAGCTTCCAGTATGATCACAAGTCCCTGCCCTGGAGGTCTTGTATGGCCTTCAAATGTCCTTCTGTATTTCAGTAGGTGTCTCACTGTGCATGGACCCTGCCAGGATAGTTCAGGTCTCATCCAGAAGCTGAGGGAACAGGCAAGTTTGGTCAGGCTGGATTTATTTAGATGCTTGCAATGATAACACCAGGAACACCTTGCAGAAAGTTGCAGCTCTGGAATATTTTATTGCCTCATCTACCAAAAAAAAAAAAAAAAATTTCCACACCCCAGAGGGCACATTCAGCACAGGAGTCAATCGGCAGCATTGCAGGCTCCGGATGTGGCAGGGAGCTGCCGTGTGCCAGCAGGGTTGGGAGGACGAGCAAAGCCATAGCGGCGGGTGCCGGCCACCACTGCAGCAAGCAGCAGCATGCCATGGTGGGGTCTGCTGCAGGATCTGGTCTTCAGTGGTAGTTTCCCTGTGTCCATGGCCACTCGAGAGCGGGTATCTCTCGCTCCTTCCTGCTGCCCGCCGTTGGTGCGGTATCAGCCCTCTGGGGTTATGGCGCTCGGCAGGGACGTGCACTTGGGCATGTGTGCTTTTTACAGCAGGAGCTCTGCAGGGGCCTTGGCGCAGCTCTTGCCAGGAGCTGATGCTTTACAGGGCATCTTCCAGGAGGCTGGCTCGCTTCAGCAACGTGCCCTGCCCTGCGTCAGTCTGAGCTGGGCAGCCGAAGGCCTGCTAAGCTGTGGGCTGATAAATCTCCTCCTCTAATAAAGGAGGGCCCCGCAAGGGGCCTCCTGCGGCTCTCTCCTTGGCCAGGCCCCACCTGTAATCTAGCCCTGGGCTGATGTTGGCCTCCCGGCGTTCCCCCCGGGTTGTTTGCACAGCCCCTTCCCTTCTGCCCGCTCGGCGGTCCGGCAGCATACCAGAAATCCTCCAGGCCCATAAATATGCATTGGGGGAGCTGTAAAATGCATCGAGCGTGCGGGGGAATGAACTCTCCGCAAACAGTGGCTACTCTGTGCGCACAAGGGCCAGCTTTCAGCCCGAGCCCCCCCGGGGGGTCCTGGCATCTCAGGGCAACGCCTGGAGCCCGTCCTACCCCAGCGCGGGAGCTCTCCAGGGCTGGCGATGCTCGACCTGCGAGATGGCCGGGAGGGCCCGGCGCTCCCGGGCGCCTGCGGGGAAACCCAGCGCCCGCTGAGCCGAGCATCACCGTGCCGGCGGGGGCCAGGGCAGGCGGAGCGCCGCTCTCCACCTGCCTCTACCTGTCCCCAGGCTCCTGGGCAAACATGCCGTAACAACGCGGCCCTTGTCTCCTCCACAATACAGGCATTTTAGTGTGAGCACCTGTTGATGCACAGCCCTGCGGCAGTGCCGGGAGGTGCTTTCAAGGCCCCTTCTGTGCAGCGATGAATAGGAGCCTGTCTGCCCTGCAGTGGGGGGCCTGTTGCCCGCCTGGGGAGCTGGGCACTGCAAACCTGTCTGTCATCTGTCCTTCATCCCGAGCACTAGGCAGCCTCCAGGAAGCTGCGTCTGCTTTGCCAGGCCCCGAGGTGGTCTGGGGACACCCTGAGATGCTGGCAGGGGAACCGTCTGCCTCTGTCTCCCACTGGTTGACTGTAGAGGTGTTGACACAGAGGTGATTTCTTTCCCTTGCAAGGGCAGAATACGTGTTCCCCTTCCCTGATGTGCATCCAGGCTGGGAAAACTGGATGTGGCCCCAGTTAGCAAGTACCCAGCGCCGTAGAGGAAGGTCAAGAAAATCCTTGGGGGTTGTCTGAGCCCGCTCTGTTCCCTAGGGGTTTTTGGAGACCCTTTGTGGAAGGGTTTTTGGAAATGTAGCAGGAGGGCAGCTTCTGGCACCGAGTCTTTCAGAGGTCCTTGTTTCGTGTTCCCAGGTGCTGGTGGAAAGGTTTTTTGGCAAATGCTAGATCAGTGGTGTGTGAGATCAGGGCATGCCCCAGCCAGCCTCAGGTCGGTGGGACTGCCCTGTGCCTGTGTGCGCGCAGCTCCCATGCCAAGGCTTGGTGTCTCTCCTCTTCCCTTGCCTCTCCGGAGTGGCTGTGCCGAACGTCCGGTTACTGCGTGCTCTCACAGCATCTCAGGCTCACCTTGTGCTCACGACTCTTGGGTGAAGTGATGTATGTCAAGGGGGTTGGGGACACCTGAAGCAGACTGGGAACAACCCCCTAGTTATTCTTTTCCCAACCCACTACTAAACAAAATACTTCCTAGCTTTCTGGTGTGATGCAAATTTAGGCTCTGTACCAGCTCTTACTGACAGCACCAGCAGCTTGGTCACAGCCTGGGTTTCCAACATTAAAATCTGGTGCTGTACACCTGGAGGAATCTCCAGAAGCTCTGTTTCCAATTGCTTTTCCAAAAAAGCAATTATATGTGGCCTCCTGGACTTCCCAGCTTGCCCCAACCACATCTTCCTGCTCCTACTTGGGTTAGGGAATAGCATTAGAGCTTCTCAGCATCTGCAGCAATAGTAGAAAGCACTGGAGAGGTTTGTGGCCCTCTGGTCCTGTCAGGATTTCCCCAAGGTGGCAGGCTGGGCGGTGCGGTGGCTGGTGAGATCCTGGAAATGGGGGTCCCCAGGGAGATGATGGTTGGTTTGGAAGAGGAGTTACTGCAAACGCTTCCATCCTGTGCTTTCCACACAAGCCCAGTATTTTACAAATCTGCAGCTCCACTTGCAAAAAGACGCATGAGGTGGTTTGGCAGTGGGCCCAGGCAGTGGTTGAGGGTGGCCTCAATGGAGGCGACGTGGTCCTGCCCTGTGGCTTGCTGGAGGGTGGATCTTGCTGGGAAGTGCTGAGGTGCGGCGGTTTGGTGTCACTTCCCCAGCTGAGCCCCTGCTGCCCTCTCGTTCCAGCCTGCTGCAGCCAGAGCCGCTGGTCCTGGCTCCTCCGGAGATGCTGAGCCAAGCCAGGAGCCATGGTTGGATCCAGGAACGCGGGTTGGAGAGGTGAGGGGAGACAAGGCACATGGACTGCACTGGTCCCTGCAGGAGCGGGGGGAGTCTGTCCTGCGGCCTTTGGGTTCCCCAATACCCACACAACAGATTTTTAACTTCATTATGTGTTTCCCCCTCTTCTAGAGGCAAATCCTTTAAACCTTCCTCTGAGCTGCTGAAGCCCAAACTTGCCAAAAAACAGGTAATAACTAGCAAAGTGCTACTAGTGTCTCTGGTGCTTTCTCCTTGTTGGGTTTTGTCGGTTGAAGGTCCGGGTGGGGAAGCTGAAGAGAAATTTTGCTGCCATGCCTGGCCCTGGTGCACACGTTTGCCTGCACCACGCTAGCATGGCAGAGCCGATTTGAACCTTGCTGGGTCCCCTCACTTGCAAAGTCCAGCTCTGCTCGGCCTTGGGCTGGCAACAGGGGCGTCTGCTCTCACGCTTTCCAGGGACGTTTTTGTAACGATAACAACTCTGTCCGAGCCTTGCTGCCCTAAATCTATCCAAGGAAAATACAACTGAGCCAGCGCAAAACAAAGCAAAATGGAAGTCCTACAGGTGGCAAGGAAATGCCAGAGTCATTAACCATGTCTGGAAGGCCCCTTAGCAGAAAATGACCTTGGAGGAGACATTAACTCTTCTCCTCTCACAAAGTTGTTTGTGTTCTCTGGGTGACTTTATAAGCCCTGATCCTTCCAACCCTGGTGAGGGAGTACCAAAGGTGTTTTTTCAGGTGGGGAAACTGAGGCACAAGGGCGTGACCCAGCAGTAAGTGGGATGTACAAGGAACACTTCCATCCCTGGATTTATCCTTTCCTTGGTGACTGCTGAGTGGTGGTGATGTTAGCAGAGAGGTGGAACCAGCCTGGAGACTGAACCGTGGTCCTCTCTCTCCTTCCAGCCCAGCACTTGCCTCCGCTCGGTGACAGCCAGAGCAAAGGCAGACCCCAAGTTTGGGGAGCTCTTCCTCTTTGACATCCCTGTGCTGATGTGGGACCAGCACTTCAGCCCAGAAACCTGGGACAGGCTGAAGACACGACATGTCCCATATGGCTGGCAAGGCTTGTCTCATGCAGGTACAGCACCCGAAAGGGCTGGGGGTGCTGGCAATGGGAGGCAAGGAGGGTGATGGGAGGGCACACGGCTGCTTGAAGGGGACGGGGGAGCCCAGCAGACGGTACTGAAGCTGCAGGGCAGGTGGAGAAACCCTGGAGAGAAGCTGGGGAACTTGCTCTCCTCCCACTCTGCCTGCCGGGGAGCAGCGCGGAGGGGATGGCTTTGCAAACACCGCTTGCTGCATCTTGTGACATTTTCCCCGAATAAAAGCTTCAGTGTCTGCATGATTATTAACTGGGGCCCAGAGGACCCTGGACAACCCGCTCCATTGTTGCAGAGGGAGATTGTTTCCCTTCCTACCCCAAACCTACTCTCTGCTCTTCTCCAGCAGCCGCTGGCTTCAATCCCTGAATTGTGAAGGGTGGAGGGAAGTGCTGGGGGCAGCAGGGGGAGGAAGCCGGGGGAAGAAGCAGACTGGCAGTGGGCAGCAGCAGCTGCAAGGAGACATTGTTGGAAGGGGAAAAGGCTGGCAGGCGCTTGCATCAGCATCCGCAGAGCCGGGCCGGGAGTGCTCCGGATACGTCCATGTGCCTTGCGCTACATCAGAGTGGCTGCTGGCCGGAGCTGGCTTAGAAACGTGGGGGGCTACAAGAGGCCAATGCCAGGGCAAACCCAGGATAGAGGAGGGTCTGGCTGGTGCCTGCCACCACTGAGGGAGGATTCAGCTTTTCTGGGGGCTACAAAGCACTTTCTAGCTGGTGTCCATCCATCTACCTTGTAGGTCCCCTCCTCTGCATGAGGATGGCACGGGCTTTCTCATCTGCTGCTCATGGATGTCCTCCTGTGTAAGCTTGTCTGTGCACGCTGTTGCATGCCTGATGCTAATGCAATGTGCTCACTCACACCTCTCCCCCAAGCCTGTGCTGAAACACGCCTTTCCCCCTCTTTGGGTCCCTGCTGACTGGCTCCGTCCTGCTCCATTTCAGCCATTGGCAGCACCCTCCGGCTCCTCAACTCCTCCTCCAACAGACACCTCTTCAACAGAGATAACTTCCCCAGGGGCTGCGTCCGCTGCGCTGTGGTAGGCAACGGAGGCATCCTCAATGGCTCGCAGCAGGGCAAGGAGATCGATGCTCATGACTTGGTGTTCAGGTAGAGCTGCTCTGCCGGGGCCTGAGACCTGGCTGGGGCCTGTGTCTTAGCAGAACAGGTCTGGGGGCCTGCAAAAGTCTCCTGCAGGGAGGGGCAGTGGGTCAGGCCTGCCCAAAGCCCCTGCACCCTTGGGAAGTTACTGGGGGAAAGTGCAAAGGGACAACTTTCTCATAGCCTTGCAGCAATGACTGTTATTGCTGGGGCCTAGTGTTGATGTAATGGTTGCTGAACGCTCCTGTTGGCAACATGTTCACGGCAATGGTTCATATCTGCTGTCTCATAATGGCATGACCAGGACAAACTCCAGACATCCCTGGCTGCCACAGGGTGAGGAGCATCCTGCCCACTGGGGTGGTGTGGGGGCACTGGCCCACAGAGAGCACCCAGCCCTGGACACACATCCTGCGATTCTCCCACAGGCTCAACGGTGCCGTGATCAAAGGCTTCGAGGAAGATGTTGGTACCAAGATCTCCTTCTATGGTTTTACAGTGAACACCATGAAGAACTCCCTTATTGCCTATGAGGAGTATGGCTTCACCCAGATACCCCAGGCCAAGGTGAGATGCTCTGAGCCCTCAGGGCTTGTCAGGCGTGGGGTTATCCTGAGTTGTCCCCTGAGGCCAGGCTACAACTTGCCCCCAAAACCTTCTCCAAGTCTTGAGAGACCTTGGCTCTACCAAAGCAACATGTGTCTGCTCCTGTGCCCCTGCTGCAGGACCTGAGGTACATCTTCATCCCCTCAGACATACGCGACTACGTCATGCTGAAGTCAGCCATCCAGGGCTGCCTGGTCCCCGAGGGTTCAGACAAGGGTGACGAGTGAGTAACTCTCTGGGCTCTCCACAAGCACCTCCAGCGTCACTGGGCTGGAGTGGCACCAGACTGCTGTTGTCCATGCAGAGTGTGATCATACTATAGCGGGCGAATGCGCCAGTGCTGGCTGCAGTCTGTGGGGGTTGCCTGGCCAGCCTGGTCCTGTGGGATGGGACGCTCCTCCTATCCTTTCTCACTCCTTTGGGGCACTGCAGGAGCGTGACTTGCCTACCAGCACCCAGGAAGCTGGGGCATGGCAAGGACTTGTCACCTAGGAAGCAGGAACAGGGCAAAGTCACTTTTCTACCTCTTCTTCCCTCTCAAAGACTGTTGGTTCTTATGACTCATTTTTGGGTCTGTGTTAGGCACTGAAGAGCTTTGCCCAGGGTATCCAGCAGCAGCTGATATTGCAATACAAACCAAAGCTCAGTGTCTCTCTGAGTTTCTACCTTGGGAGCTGAATGGCGAGGCTGTGTCCAGAGAGTGGGGCAGGTATTCAGTGCTCTCGTGCTGCCTGGTTCCTTCAGCTGACATGTTTGGTCACCTTGCAAGATAAGTCCCAAGTGGCCCCAGGACTTCTGTGACTTGAATTTGGCTTCTTTCTTCTCCCTGCTGCAGGCCACAGAAGTATTTTGGACCAGAGGCATCTGCAAAGAAGTTCAAGCTGCTGCACCCAGATTTCATACATTATCTAACAGCAAGGTAAGGAAACCAAGGGGCCACAAGGCAAACCACTCAGCCCCCTGCAGGCTCCTCTTGTGCATGGGTCTGCTCCTGGCTCAGCTCTTCATCACCAGCTATAGCCAGACTGCTTGCTTCCCAGCCTTTCTCTCGTCTGTACAATCTTGTGACTGCTCTCCACCATCAAAATACAGTCCTGGTCCACCCTAGCCACTGGAACTGCCTCTGTTCTGTTCTCTGTGACTAAGGCCAAGAGATTTCCACCTACGCTATTGCCATTTAGCACAGGACAATTCATGTCCTTTTCATAGCAGGAAGATGAGACTTTTACATCCTCGCTATCTTCACCTTGCCTGCCTTTCCCCCAAATTAGTTGGCCAGTGTTGACCTAGTCTAATAGGAGCAAAGGTAGGGACCAAAAGGATTATCTTTTTCTGTGTTTCATGAAAATGGGTGGCTGGGTCAAGGTGATTGAGAGCAGTGAGGAGGTGCCCTTCTAGTATCCTGCAGAGAATGAGCTGAATCTTAGTAGTAGGCATCAGAGAATATGCAAGACAGTTATGAATGCCACGAGAGGATGCATTTCAGTCACTGCTCCTGCCTTTTCAGACACCAGACACTCCCAGTGCCTGATGCATGCTGGAAAGGCAAGAGGCTTTGCTGCTGTAGTGTTTGGGGGACCTGGGTGCTGCGATGGCCAGTGGAGCTCTTGCTAACCCACTGTCTTTGCTGACAGGTTCTTGAGGTCAGAAATCATCAATACTCAGTACGGCTACCTCTACATGCCCAGTACTGGTGCACTCATGCTCCTGACAGCACTCCATACCTGTGACCAGGTAAGAGGCCACAGAGCCATCTTCCCTCAGCACCCGGAGCGGGATGGCCATCCTTCTGCTGCCCAGGGCCTGCAAATGGCCAATCTGTTATATGGCAGACCTCGGTGTGGGCTAGCCTGCCCTTCTGGGGCTTCTGATGGGGATGAACACATCCTGGTGGAGCTCACTGGTTGCTGTCCTACACGTATCATTGCTCCAGCCCCATGACGCCACCTGATCCTATTCCCACCCTTTGCCAATGTGTTTCATTACGCTCCTTGCAGGTCAGTGCCTATGGGTTCATCACTGACAACTACGAGCAATTCTCGGACCACTACTATGAGCTGGAGAAGAAACCATTGGTGTTTTATGCCAACCACGACATGATGCTGGAGGCAGAGCTGTGGAAGAGCTTGCATCGAGCAGGGATCATGAAACTTTACCAGCGGTGAGGCAGGGCAGCAGCCCATGGGGTCAAGCCCCTCGGACTCTCGCAGTGTCACAGAAGTGGTTCTTCTTCTCTTTCCTGAAGGCTCCCTTCTCTCTCCTAAGGCTATCCAGGACTTGTAGGCTAGCTGCTGACGTGCAGGCCCTCTACACTTCAGTTGCTGGCAGCTGCCTGCCAACTTGCAGGCAGGTAGTGGTGGTGGAAAGGGGCAAGCCAAAAGGGTTAGGGAAATGCTGCAACACTTCCTCAGGGATCTGCAGGAAACTTGTTTTGTGGCTAGCGCAATTCAATGCGGCCTTTGTGGCACCAAGAAGCACCACTGCATGTGGCTGTGACCTCCCAATACTGCAAACACCTCTGTGGGGCAACAGCAACCACCCGGGAAGAATTGTGCCTGGCTGCCAGGAAGGGCAGGATGATGGTTTAAGAGGACACTGGAGAAGTGTGGGTGTGACAGCCCCCACCCCCCCCCTT